TCCCGTTGGTTCAAAACACTCTGCTATTTGTATGCTATTTTTGAATGCTTCGAAGGAACGGAATATCCTACAAACATTCATATTAATTAGAATGGATGGAATTTTTAATTTCAACATAACTCGATAGAATGGAATATGTAATAAGCAATTCCTTTAATTTCCGTCCTCTAAAGACCGGATTTAATTCGACCACATAACTCTTACCAAAGAATTCCTTGCATCATGTAAAACATGGTGTGTATATTTTGGGAAATTCAATACATAGCTGATGTGTTGAGCTACATAACGCAGTCTTACTGGTTTTCCACCAAAAAGATTGCATTGGTCAATGTGCGGATGGGTTAGGCGAAAGAGCGACATACCCATCTTGCTCGAGATGATGCTTAGGTAGTTAGACGTGACTGATAAAAAATGAAAGCAGTAAGCGTGGCTGCAGAAGAAGTCAGAGTAGAAGTTGTAAAGGTCTCTTTTCATTCTCTTTCAGATGAAGTTTTGAGAAGAAGCCAAAGACAGTTCATTGTGAACATGTGACTAGCGAAACTATGGTATTCTGCGTGATTTCTCTCAGCCTTCTGAGCTCCAGAAGAACTACTTCTCTGCTTTCTCTTAGTTCTTATGGTATCATTTCACTGCATGGGTTCGCAAGTAGAGACTTCTAATAATAATGGTCCTCTTAGAACCTTTTGGTGAAGATTTTGTGATCTAATCCACTGATTGAGACAACGCATAGGGCATCACAATGGTGTGTTAGCTGTAAAATTTTTGAACAGATGCTTCTCTTCGTTACTTTTAGCTACTCTCCTTCTTGACGCTATGAGACGCGCGTTGAGACGCTGCTGAGAGTGTTTGTTGAGGTGGTTAGACTTCTCAGTGGTGTCGTCCCAGGGGAATTTTCCCATAAACTCGCAAAAAAAATTCAAGTAGTTAATTCAGCGTGGAGGACACGACTATCCGATACTGTGCAGCTGCTGAAACAACCTTTTGGTTAGCATGTTCTACTGGTTGTGCACGTGTTCAATATCCTTCGAAGTCTACCTTGAATGGGAAGCACTCAAAACTCGACCTTTCATCCCCTTTATTACACTCAGTCAGTAAATGCCGTAAGAGGCTATACAAGTTGATCTAGGTCAATCTTGACGTTGAAATAGTCGATCTTTTCAGAAAATCTGGCCTTTTCTGTAGGGCTTCTAATATCCATATGAAACCCTTCAGGCTGATCATCATTGTAAGTACATGTTGGAGAGTAGGCGAAGAGGATTCCTCAACTCAAAGTTGAGCTACTTCTCTCCAGTAGCCTACTTGTGATACTTTTCGATTATAACGCTTCAGTACGGTGCATGTTTATGTGGGTAATGACAAGCCCACCTAAACCGGTGGGTCTTTCTGCTGCCTCACATTTTGAAGGAGCAGTTCTTCCTTTTTGAACGTGCGACAGCAGAAGCCTATTTTTCAGTCTCAGAGATGGTCCCTCCCTCTTTCGGTAAGTCTGATGACATGAGAAGGGTCGAACATCATTTTCCTGGCTTGCATCACCAAATCTTCTCCATCCCAGTCCTTTTCAGCTCCAAGTCTTTAGCATTCTTTGTCCAGAGGCATTAACCAATGCTGCCGTATCCCAGTCCCCTGATTCAGAGGAATAAAGCCTAATAGTATTACTGCTTCGGGCATATACATACTCATGAGAAGCGTACCCGGCTTTGAAGGGTAATGGTGACTGGTCAAAGCCAAGTTCTTCCGAGTGAAAAACCGACTGAAACCTAGTGGATCTTCACCACATAACGTTCAATAGGACAAGATGAACAACTTCTCCGAACTTTATGTATGGGAGGAAACTCTGATTCTCACAGAAGTGATTTAAGCCGTTTTAGCCATTGAACTACTTATACTTCCGCTTTTTGAATAAAAAGGGGTACCTCAAAATTATCGTGAACTGTGCCTTTAACGTTATACACCAGATTTGTCTATTTGCCAAAAAAATAGAAATTCCTTTTCACCAGAAGCGCAAGTAGGACCCATCCGGAGTAAAAATAAAAATATAATCGAATGATTCATTACTAGCATGAAAAAAAAACGTAGAACTCCACTTGAATAAGCGACAGATCACAGTGAAATACAGAAATTGCAAACATATAAACATAGCTCATCAATGTCAACCCTGCATCATCGATATAGCAGTCTTGGTAGAAGAAATTAATTCGTAAAATATTACTGAAAGAGATTCAATACACACACAATAAATTCGTATAGATCAAAAGTAGTAATATAAAATTATATCTACAAAAAGAAAAACGATGTGATTACGCTCAAACTGTATATTTTCGATTATAAACGAGTCATGGCCTATTAGATATACAACCGTCTATGACAAATACATATAACGACGATTAAGCTCATTTTGGAGACTAAACCAAAAAAAAAGGAAGTAAACAAAAACGAAAACAAAACTATATGTAGTATAACAATGTACAAGTGTCAAGGAAAACGAGGTCAATGCATGAGTGGAACCCTGTAGAAATCGAATTCGATACGTTAATGTATGGCCCCCGTACGACGGGTAGGGAAAGAGGGAGGTCCAACGGATAGGAGGTCTAAAATGCTACACCCTCCTAAAATGTGTGGAGAATAACTGCCTGGTGACAGTCCCAATCGGTTCAATCACTATCTCCATCATCTGAATATGCATAGTTAGCATCTCTTCGCATCAACGGGCTAGCATCTTCAGTCCGTCGTTGTCGAGCTGTTTGTTGTTGGTACGGAGCAGTTCGAGTCAATGAGGCAACCCGATTTGATTGGCCACGTCCACCAACACCAGAAGACCCTGAAAATTCGGATTCGTCAGATTTCAGCTGTATATGGGGTTTCCATCGCCAAAAAGTTACATGTTTTTTCAAAAGAGAGATTGAACTTCTCCGAGGTGTCAAGACAGCATTTAGGAGGCATTACGGCCTGAATTTTATAGATTTACAAATAAAAAAATAAATTGAAATGCATCTGGGCTTAAACATTAGTTCTAGAATTGGACAAAAAAAATGAAAATCAACACTGTAGCGACGTCCCGTGGATCGTGGTGACGCTAGATTGTCAAGTTACTTCCCAATCTAGTTGCTATAGCTAATGACGACTTCCAAACTACGCTACCAGGTTAAAAGTGAATTGATGATGGAGAGATTTATCAGTATTGGGACGAGTTCTTTGAAAAAACACTCTACTTCGGTGAAGAGCAATCACACATGTATTTAAATTAAATTTGAACTAGGCCGAATCTTCCAACGAAACTGAAAGAGCCAGTTTTCCAAATTTTCCACCTTGGAAGAATTTTTTTCAGTGTGAATTGAGAGCATTTGAGTGAGTTCCTAACAGCAGCCCTTCGAAATTTTTCAATGAGTATTTTTAAATTCTCGAGACAGTCCTTCAAATAGAAAATAGAAGGGACATCTTGACTGAAATTTCTTAGACAGGTCCTAGGTCTCCCGAATCCAAAACTTATAATTCTACAACGAAGAGGAAGCCGCCAAGTACTCTATACTCTACAATACTTGATNTTGTATCAAAAATATTTGAAAAATCAAGAAAATATTGGGAAAGCTCGTTAAGAAGAAGCGACCGGCAAGTTCCATTTAGTGCAATAATTAGAATTTATTTGAATAAAAAAAATTTTCAGAAAAAGAATTCCATTGGACACAAGTCATCCAGTAATCCAATTAACTAGAAAAATGATATTATTTTCAGTTGAATGTGTTCCAGCAGGGAAGATTCTGAATTGAAGAACTCACCACTTTGAGAACTGCCGCTCGTCCTTTGATTGTGCTGCTGTAAGATCGAATGAGCTGGACTGACAACAGACCATGACTGGAGACGACTGTGAATTTCCGAAAACGTAGGTCGACGTTCCGGATTTGCATTCCAACACTCGATCATCAAGCTAGAACACAAAACCTTGCATTTGTATAGCTAAAACGTGCTGTAAACATAAACATTCCTGTTCACTTACCCATAGATGTTGGTTGGACAGTTCTGTGGGCATTCGAGAAGATGTCGATTAGCGATCAGTTCAATTACAGTCTGATTGGAGGCTGAGCCATACGGCTGACGACCGTAACTCCATATTTCCCACAAGGTGACACCAAACGACCACACATCGGACGCTTCGCTGAATCGTCCTTGCTCAAGTGCCTCCTTCGCCATCCATCGTACTGGCATCCACGATCGATGAACCATCTGAAACCATGTCAACGATTTCGTCTGGTGTGAAGGTGGAAATGCTTTGATAGCATGAAGGAAGCTTCACCACCCCGAAGAACGTCAACTATGAGTGCTTTTCTCTAAGAAGCTCAGGAATAAATCATATCAAAGCTTGATTCATAGTTACGGAATCAGAATTTCCATATTTGTTAGACGCACAAGTGGTCATAGAATCAAATCTAGGACGATACCCGCCCAGGTCAACTAGGTCTCTATTTCCACAACTTCATCTAATGAGAAAGCTAGTGTCAAGGTAATTGGCTAAAGCTGTGAGGCAGGCTTGGTACAAGAGATCTCTGCCAGCGAAAAGTGGGTAAGACGACATGTCAGCCTGCCCCTTTGATACTCATCGTATGTGACGTCTTCTGGGTGAATCTGACCTACCTTGTAGTAATCACAATCGTAACATGATCGCATTAGACCGAAATCTGCGATTTTGATGATTCGCTGATCGCCAACCAGGCAATTTCTTGAAGCAAGATCACGATGAACGAATGCCATTGATGCCAGATACTCCATTCCGTAGGCAATCTGGAGTAAGATGAATTGAGTTGGTAAAAAATCGTATATGCATTTTAATATTGGCAATAAAAAATAAGTGACTTTTGAAAAGAATTCCGCTTTCCCGTCCTTACTTTCACTACTCTTACCGATATCGCGGGTAACCTACTGCCGCTGAAGCCTCATACCATCTACCAAAC